GCCCACTAATACGTCTTCCAGTCCTGGCTGTGTACTGAAATGAATGTGCACCACACACACACACACACACACCCCTACACACCACCCCTCTTTATCAAAACACAATTGGAAGAGGGCACCGAAGAAGCAAAGGAATCCTTGCCAAGGGAGGTTCCGAGTCTTGTAAATTAGGTGGCGTGCCCATTTGTACGTCTTCCAGTTCAAGGCTTGGGGTGAGGCAAGAGACAAATCCCACCCCCCCACTCCTCCACTGTAGATCCCTACTGTGAGTCAGAACTTCCAGAACCTCCAAAAGCCCAGCTCCGTGGTCCCCCATTTTCCAGGTGGAGAAAACACAGCTTGGGCCTCTCATTCTACCCCTGAAGCCATACAAGGATGAAAGTTTCTTTGGTTGGTGCTTAATCAACCGTAATCCCGTAGGCGTTTTTGTGCTCTGTCTCAGTGTCTAACAATACATCCTGGGACCTCTCACTGTCATGTTTTCAACAACTAGCGGGAAGGGTATAATTACCTGTGTAACAAACGTGGCAATCTTTATGTTGTAACGTGACTATGCAGTATTCTTTGACCCTCGACCTTCAATGCTTCCCTTCTCTTTTTTCCATGGTACTGTTCGATTTGGTGGAATAAATACCAAGCTTCTATGCATTCCCTTGTCCTGGTGTTCCCTTGCAGAAAAGACGTTGCGTTATCTGGAGTCTAAACACGGGCTGTTTCTTCTCTTAAGGGCTAAGACAACGGCACCATCAGGGTATATTAACGAAGAGTTTTACACACACACAAAGACACAAATAAAGAGGCTTAGCGATCTTGGGGAATCGCAAAATTGAGCACAGGCCCTACATCACAATTGTGCAATTTCTAAACTATGAACCCCAAAGGTCTTGGAGTCCTAGCGGACAATCATTTAACGATGAGCCAGCAGTGTGCGGCACTGGCCAAAAAAGCCAATGCAATCCTAAATCGCATCAACAGAGGGATACAATCAAGATCAAGGAAGGTACTAATACCCACTCTATAAAGCCTTAGTAAGACCACAGCTAGAGTCCTGCATCCAGATGTTGAGACTCTAGAAAGAGTGCAGAGAAGAGCAACCAGGATGATTTAGGGGACTGGAGGTTAAAACATACAATGAACGGTTGTAGGAACTGGGCCTGGCTAGTCTAGGGAAGAGAAGGACCAGGGGAGACATGATAGCAGACTTCCAATATTTGAGGGGCTGCCACAGAGAGGAGGAAGGGGTCAAGCTATTTTCCAAAGCACCGGAAGGCCAGACAAGCAACAATGGATGGAAACTGATCAAGGAGAGATTCAACTTAGAAATAAGGAGAAATTTTCTGACAGCAAGAACAATCAACCAATGGACCAGCTTTCCTTCAGAGGTTGTGACTTCTTCATCACTGGAGGCTTTCAACAACAGACTGAGCAACCATTTGAACGGGAGGTTGGACTAGACGATCTACAAGATCTTAAATTAGTAACAGGTGAGTTGACAGTTGACGTTTCCTTTCAGGTATATTCTTTCAGAAATATTCCCGGAGAAAGGAGACAAGTAACTTTACCTTTGATAGCCTTTGCAAGTTCTAACGATCTTCCTGTCCATTAGTTACATCAGGAGCGGTACTTTCCAATGGTATAAACGCCTCAATAGCTGGGCACTGCAGTTTATTCCTCGCTACTCTTTGATGAAATTACGGTGGAAAATCTTCCCATCTGTGCCCGTGTCATCAAGCGTCGGGAGAGGGACAACTCATAAAACATTCCTATGCCTGTTTTAGTAGTTGCCACTAAAAAGAAAAGTTGGGAGAAGGAAAGAAATTTGGAAGAGCAGTACAGCAGTTTGAACTACGTTCCAACTCTTTATCTTTAAAAGACTGTAACTGAAATACCAGAGTTTTTGCCTGCGAATATATTGAATTGGAGAACGTGAATGATGACACCCAGCCTGTGAATGTGCTCAATTGGAGAATGTGATTTATGACACACCCAGGGGGGAGGGAGTGGGGAAACAGGGTCACAGGGGACTGTAAATGACGTAGGCCAGAGTTGGCTTCCTACAGGGCAGTGCCAGTAGGTCGCCTCAAATGAATCCTTTGAAGTTTTTTGAAGTTTGGCTCGAGAATCATGGTTTAATTAGGGAATCCTGACAGAGAGCACAACTAGACTCACAGGTGTAGAGTTCAGACAAGCCACTTTATTGCTTTCTGCCTATAATACAAGAATCTCCCCTGATGTACAGCTTTTGCCTAGCGAAGACCAGCTAAGGGTCAAAGACATTCAAGGTTGGGTCAGACTTTGCCTCCTGTGTTTATGGAAGGAGTCCAGACTAATTCCCTACTTGACCCCTTCTCCCAACTGGGATGGTTTGCTCTCCAACGTCAAGTTATTGGTTATATACCCCTTGCAGTAAAGAACGTGGCTTGCCCCTGAAAATCCTAGCTGAGCCTAATGGGAGATATGGTGAAAAGTTTTGAGATGTAGACTTTGACTCTACAGTGTGTCTGTCAGGATTCCTGCAGTTGCCCTAATTAAATCATGAGCCTCGAGCCAAGCTTCAAAAACTTCAAAGGATTCATTAGGAGCGAACATGTTGGCATGACCTGTATGAAGCCGATTCTGAAGCACATAATTTATTATCTCCTATGACCCTGTTTTGCCCCCCCCCCACTCCTCTGGGCGTATCATAATTAATATTCTCCAACGAAACACGTTCATAGCTGAGAGTCATCAATCACATTCTCCAATGAGGGATTTCCCCCGGGGAGAAATACAGGTAGCTTAGTTACAATCTTTGCAAGATAAGAATGGAATGCACTTTTGGTTTTAAACTGCTCCTTCAAATTTCTTTCTCCTCCCTCTGTTCATTGCAACTCCAAAACAGGCATAGAAATGTTTGATGAGTGGTTTCTGGCTCTTCTTCGGTGCTAATGAGTTGGTTGCCAACAGAAGTTCATTTCACAGTCCTCTGAGAATGCCTTCCTTGCTTGGCACACTAAACACAGAACGAAAAATCCAGATGATGTCCTGAAAGCGACGATTAAGTCAACGGAAGGTTTCTAAAACAGCTGCAAGCCTTCCCAAGCAAGAGATGATTAACAATCCAGAGGGGAAAAGATGAAAGCAGAGTAGGGGGGAAAAAAAATATGATGTGAAATCAAGTCTATATATCGGCTTCTTATAGAGAGTCAGCTTGTTTGGGGTGTTTAAGGCGCCAAGCTAAAAACTGGGAGACTGTGAGTCCTAGTCCTGCTTTAAGGCACTGAGCCAGCTGGATGACCTTGGGCCAGTCACCCTCCTTCAGCCCTAGGAAGGAGGCAACCCCGCCCCCCCCCAAAAAAAAAACACTCGCAGAATCAAACACAATTGAACAGCAGGGGAAAAAAAAATCAGCTTACAGTCTCAGATGCATATCAAAGTTAGCAGATTCCCCATCTATCAAGGGATCTCTGTGTTTTACAAAGGATGAAAATAGTCTAAACATTAGCAGCTGGTTTTGATATTCCCAACGATGGGTGGTGGGGAATCTATTTTATTTCCTTCTGCTTTTCCTAGCAAGGACTGGGAAAAAAAAAATCCTTGACCCAACCCAGCCCCCCTATAGATTCCGTTTGCAAGGAGGTAAATCTTGTAATACATTATATAAGATTAATCTGGACTCAACAGGGTTTTTTTTAATTTTTTTTTTTAAAAAAAGCAACCGTATGTCTTATTTCCAGCCCTCTCTCAACGCTTTAATCTTGCTCGAGGAAATATTTTTGGAAACTCCAAGATTGCACAGATTCTCTTGTAAGCCTGGAGTTGACCTAATAAAAGACAAATCTGGGGATTTTTTTTTTTTGTTTTAAATTTGTGTGTGTGTCTTTGTCATGATCAACACAGCTGCCTTCTTGGCTTTGCATTTTGTACAAGCCGTGCAGAAGACCTGAGGGATCTTGCAAATTGCCAGCTGCTCTAAAAATAAAGGTGATACCACTTCCTGATATGAATCACTCCCAGAACTAGCGACGGAACAAACTTGATCTTTTATTTTTCATGATCTTTTTTTTTCTTCTTTTCCTTCCCCGCACCGGGCCAGATAAACGAACTCTGAGCCTCTTTTTAACATCATTCCTTCCTCCCACGAAATTGTTTTGATACCTCCATCAGCCTCACGAAAAGAATTGCGGCTCAAATGCAAATCTTACAGCAAAGGATCTGGGAATTGGGAATTAGCTACGATATATATGAAAGGGACAAGTCATTTTTTTATTTTTGTTGTACAAAAATAAGTGTGGCACCTGATGATTGACTCTTGACGAATGTATCTTTTCTTTGATGGACACTGAGAGCACTTGCACCAAAGACAAATTCCTCGTGTGTCCAATCACACTCGGCCAATAAAGAATTATTCTATTTTTTATTTTTTGGAAGCAATTGATATTAGTCTCCTTTTGGAATCTTAATTGAGCTTTACTTAATTGAGATCTACTTTTGCAGAAGTCTGCCCCATAACTCTGCATGTCGGGTCTGTCAAAACAAGCTGGCAAAGAGTTTTTAAATGAATTGTTTTGGAGTTTTGTTTTGTTTTTTTCCAACCGAGGGAGAATTTTTTTTTTTTTTTTAAAAAAGGTAGCTAAAAATACTCCAGGCAGCCTCTTCTAGTCCTGACATA